CTAGTATCAAAGTTGCGACGGGGGCGGGTATCGGGTTGTTCTTGGCATTGATTGGTATGGAGAGTTCTGCTGGTATTGGGTTGATTGGTCCCAATTCTGCCACGATTGTCGAACTCGGTGCTTGCAAGGCTGAATTCAAGGACCCGGTCACCGGCGCTTGCATGTCCCACCACATGGAAAACCCTACCACATGGATGGGTATCCTTGGTTTCATGATCATGGCCATGCTTCTTTCCTACCGCGTCAAGGGTTCCATCATCATCTCCATCATCTTCATCTCCGCCGTCTCCTGGTTCCGCAACTCGGAGGTCACCTACTTCCCCTACACCCCAGCCGGCGACACAATGTTCGACTACTTCAAGAAAGTCGTTGACGTCCCGCGTCTCCGCCTAATCGGCGGTGTCTTGAGCTTCGAAGCCATGCACACCAAGGAAGTCTGGATCGCCCTCATCACCTTCTTGTACGTCGACATCTTGGACATGACCGGTACCCTCTTCTCCATGGCCAAGTTCGCCGGTTTCCTCAAGCCCAACGGCGACTTCAACAACTCCATGCAAGCCTTCCTCACCGACGCCTCCTCCATCTCCATCGGTGCCCTCATGGGTCTTTCCCCTGTCACGGCCTTCGTCGAGTCTGGTGCAGGTATCACCGAAGGTGGTAAGACCGGTCTCACCGCCATCACCACCGGTCTCTTCTTTATCCTCTCCCTCTTCTTCGCTCCCATCTTCGCTTCCTTCCCTCCATGGGCCACCGGTCCTGCTCTCCTCATTGTCGGTGTTATGATGTCCCAAGAAGCTTTCCCCCGCATCAACTGGCACTACTTCCCCGACGCCGTCCCCGCGTTCATCGCCATCATCATCATGCCGTTCACTTACTCCATCGCCTACGGTCTCATTGGGGGTGTCGTTTCCTACATCATCATCAACTCCATCATCTTCATCATCCGGAAGGCGTCTGGCGGCAAGGCTTTGCCTGCCGACTTTGACAAGAAGGAGCATTGGGGACCCAAAAGCAAGGAGGAACTATACCCCTTCTGGGTCAAGTGGATGGTGCACAAGAAGGACCACGTTGATGGGGATGCGCAGGATGACGTGCTGGAGATCAGTGCAGATGAGGAGAACAGGGATCCCGCCAATAGGTTGGAGGAGGGCATCGAGAAGAAGGAGGCTGAGGCTTTCCACGGAGTTCCTGTGGATACGAAATAGAGGGATTGCGGGTCAATTTGGGGTAGTTGGTTTATATAGCTTCAAGTGTGGTGAGGCGGTTAATGTGTATGTAATTTCCTTTAGTAGATAGTACTCATTAGGTATTACCTTGTATGTAACGTATGCTATGTAATCATACTTTTTTTTCAACATTCACGAGTTGGGAATGGCTGTGCATAATTCAGTCTACGTAATCAGCATTCCCGAACGTCAGTTGTTATTAGCCTCCCGGAACAACCGGCTTTCGGCGTTATCTCAAGACCATACTGCTCTCAGCGTTCATCAATGACGGTAGCGTTCATCCAAAAACGCATTGCACGGCCCACAACAATCCTCAGACAACACAGAAAAAGCCAACAATCCACAGAAAACACAGAGAAAGACAAAAAAATTACTCGATTAGAAAACACCCTAAGCTCTCAGTCCGGGAATTGAACCCGGGTCTCCCGCGTGACAGGCGGGGATACTAGCCACTATACTAACTGAGATTGGTCAGAGTTTCGAGCAACGTTGACATTGATTGACTTGTTTAAAGCAACCTGGAAGGTGCAGTGAACCCACTTACCATTTTGTTTTTAGCGCTTGATCATTATTTGTTTTCTTTACCAGAGAATTTTCCCATAGGCCTTTGCTATAAAGCCGCTGCTGCCATTGTACAGGCCTGGAAGTTAATTTGAGCTTTCGTACTATTGGTCGACAACAACCATAAAGTAAACGGACTGTTGGGGATGGCAACTTCCCGGAAACAGGTTTACATTTATCATATTATCAGTAGTTCAGCGGATAACAAAACCGTATGTGGGTACGCCACTTGTCAGGCGAGCGAGATGTCTTGTCAACAAAGCGCGGCCCAGAAAGGCATCCCCCAGCCAGTTTCCCAAACTTGTTTTGCGCCAACCTGTCTATCGTTTGATTATTCACCACAACGACCACGACAGTTCTTCCTCTGATGATATTTTGCATCAGCTGTCATCCGAGAACAACGCCTGCATGCCATGAATATGCGATTTGCGCGACGGTCGCTTCGCAATTCGCGAATCATCAAAGCTCCTCACGATTTGTTGCACAACAAACTGTGATGAACAACGTCAGGATTCCAAAATCAACGGAACTGCAGAAACTCACGGCGGTGGTCCACAACTACTCACCGCCCATTTAAGAACCGCCTCATAAAAATCAACGAACAACGGCATCTCTGATGCTTCTCGCGGCACCCGCGCCGAATCGATCTCGTGCAGTAAGAGGTGTTCCTCTACAATAAATATCGAGTCGACAATCGCTCGCTTCCAAAAATGACCCAAACGACCATACCATGATAATCCAACATGAAAAACCGCACCTCCATCCCCACACTCTGCACCCCAAATGTCGCCAACCCCACCGGAACCCTCCTCCTCCCCTCCACCAACGCCCCAACAGTCCGTTCCAGAATCTTCACCATCATCCCCGCAACCTTCTCCGCGTCTGCCTCCTCTTTCGCCTTATTCGGGGACGGCCCACTTCCCTCAACATAAACAAGGGGAAGCTTATCCGCCGTAACCATCCTCCCAACTCCATCTGCCTTTTTGCGGTCCAAGAATGGATCCGATATGTCTCCGGAGGAGTAGTCGAGACCTGCGACTTCCCGTAGGGCCGAGGAAAGGACGGGGTGGACGTATGTGTTTGATGGTGACATTCGAGAGTTGTGGTGCGGGTGGGGGGGTTGGAGGAGCCGAGGCTGAAGGCTTTTATGCTACGCATGGGCCAGGATATGTTAGTAAATAGACAGGAAGGATGCCAGTAATCAAATTGACATACAAAACAGGAAGTGTCCATCGAATGATACGGCGCACAGGTCTGAGCTGCGGATTATTAGGAACGATCATCGCATCCAGAAACTCCGTCCATTCCATCAAAGTTCTGTCCTTTGCAAAAACATCAATTAAAACACCACGTTGATCTTCCGTGAAAACGTCGTCGTATAGTATGTTCATGTGCTCTGCATATCCGTCCTGGACTTCTTCGGGGAATTGGTAGAATGTGCGGCAGGTGGGACGTAGATCAATTAGGCCTGATGCCCCAGGGTAGGAATCGCAGATGTATTTGAATGAATCAGTCTTCACACGGGGTAATGCCTTCCATAGTTTGGTGAGGCGGGGTATAGAGGGGCTTGAAGATGAGGTTGCAATGGATTTGGTGACAATTGGGGAGGTTGCGACAGAGGAGGGGACATTAAGAGAGAAGTCTTCGCCATCCTCTGGCTCTTGTATGGGTGATTTGAGACATCTTCTACCTTGTGCTTCTTTGGCTCAGATGTTGATTGTGTTGGCGCCGAGCGTTTCTTGGCGGACGGAATGACAGGTATAGACTGGACGAGGGTTGCATAGCAATTCGTTCGTAGCCGTGCGACTGCTAGGTCATCTAACACATCAGCCCTGACCTGTTCAAGGCCACGACCATAAGCGATCAGCAAGCAGCAACCCATCAAAGCACAATGTTCAACTCACGCCTTCTTCTAGATGTGCAAGCTGCTCAGCAAGGACTCTAGATTTGAATGCCGTTTGCAATGAACCCAGTAGATACTGAGCCTTATTCCGGCATTGAACAAGGCTGTTTGGATTGCTCGTTACTGACCGATATGCATTTCTCAAAGCTTCCTTCAAGCAGTCAATATCGATGGGTAGGACGGCATTCTCAACGACTGCCGCGACATGTGACTCGAGTGACCAAGATTTGAATACTTGATAGTTTAGGAGAGTTCCAACTATATCTGTATAAACACTGACGGCAGGATCAGACAGGATTCTTTATTGAAGCGGGCACGGAGTATGCATATTCTGGAATGCAACCGAAGCCAAAGTTATGCGTCCACAAGGACGGAACCCGCTTGTGCTGCCTTCCAAACACTTCCTGAGGGTGGTCGGGCCTTTGACCCGCGTTTGCAAAAGTCGCTGTGAGTGGTTCCCGTGCAGGGGGTTCAAGCAGTGATCTTCAGTTGGCAGATGAAACGCGGTGGTTCCGCCCAGAGGTAGGTCTCCGTTTCTGGCCCCATAACAATCATACTCCTCACCATAATGGCGCGTTTCCCGGAGCAGTTCCCGCTATCCTCGTCCTTTCTGTCTCTGGGTGTTGTTCTGCCGCAGCTGCACCCAGCATGGTGCAGGTCTGTTCTCTATCGGATGCGAATTCACCAATAGGTTTTTGGAGGAAGAGGAGAAGGTCTTCCGCCTTCCGTCCAAGCATATCTAGTTAGACTCCACAAGGGGCACAACAAGCTAGACCACGTGCATGTGAGCCCACAAGCCACTGCCGATTCCGAGTTGTTGGTTCTTGGTTCAAGGACCGGCGGTTGCACAACGAGCCACTAAACGCCCCACAAAAATTTGCAAACCGGAACTTGCTCAATGGGCCAATGGCGACACCACGAGGGAGGACAAAATAAAATGGACGACATTAGTGACGTTCCCCGAATTTCAAATTTCTCATTTCCACTGATTTTCCAGTCGATGCACAAGTCATTTCATCAGACAATCCGTCGTTTGCTCCCGGGGTGTGGATCTGAATTTTTGAACGGACGTGGCGAGTTAGATGTGGATACTGGTAAGTGTAATGCCCTGTATCATCATATGTGGTGGACTATCATCAACCCCGTTGCCAATATATAGCCAGGTACGATCGGATTACCATCTGACCCTCGGTTCCGCGGCACGGTAGATGCCCCAATCGTGATTGGTGGGTACGACTACGGTGACCATCAGTCAGTGTGCAGTCGTGGTGAACGATCATGAGGCGACTGGTGTTGGGACTCTGACAATAGCTCCTGTCGAATAGTGGTTTAATTCGTCGTGCTTATATAAGCGTTCCTTATATGCAACGCGAAGGTCGCGGGTTCGAACCCCGCCAGGAGCATTTTAAAAAACATTCTAAAGGTGGCAACTTTTGCCATTGATTTGATTTCGGACAGGAAAAAAACCCAGTTCCACTTCTGGTTCCACTTTCAGCAAGTGAGCCCACCCGCAGGTTGCACAGTGCTGCTTGGTGGCTGTGCCACTCGCTGAGCGCAAATGTTATGGTGTCAAGTACGCATCCCCCTGTCGCCTTTGCCGAAATCTTCTTGATTTGTCTCTGGTCAGCTTCATTGCCGATTGGTGGAAAGTTCCTGAAACTGGCTTCCTGCTGACGATGAACTCCCAAATAATCAATTCATCCTGTTTTGACGGAGTGGCATATGAAAGTTTGATAGAGGTCAATCTCAGATAATGAATTGCAAATGGAGGTGCTGGGAAACTCGGGGGAAGGCGGAAGGAAGAAGATGCGTCGATATATTCCACATTTGAAGTGGGGCCAATGTGACGAAAGCAGTGCTTTTGCAATGTGAACGTTCGGGACCTATCACATGCGGCTTTTGAATCGCGGTTGAGATGATGTCAAGAATCAATAAGATGCCACTCAGCAACTCTGCATGGCAAAGCACTGATTTTGAGATTGTCGGAGCCCACTATTCTGCAGAATGGTAACCTCAGTGCGAAGTTCAAGTGAGACAAATCCGAGGAGGTGACCAGTCTTGATTTGTATCGTTGATAAGAGGTGCAACTGAAATGGATATGGTTGAAGTGGATATGCGGCGGAAAGTCTGGGGTAGGTGGTTTCCGCTTTGAATGGGCACTTTGGGCAGGTGGGTAAGAAATTGCTGTTTTGGCGGTTGTTGTGCTTGAATGCCTTACGATTGCAGACTGAACAACGTTGGAGCGAGCACAGTGTTTGGAATCGACATGTGTTTCCGAGGTGGACGTGGCGTGGGACAAACTTCGAAGGATTTCATTTGCAGTGTCTCCCGTCGTCACAATGCAATGTATTACACCATATCTTCATCCTTGCATCTCAATATCGCCACTGAGGCTTAAAGATCACTATCGAGAAATCATAGAAGGGTATTCATGCGGTATGAAGTGATGGCGTTGCATATCATGCCGGGTCGGGGCATGACTCATGGAAGATTCGTTCGGAAAGGAATGGGTGTTGCCTTCTTTCTTGTGACGATGATATCTATCATTGGCTGATTCTTCTTTGTTGAGATAGGCCGTCGCTAGGGGGACAGGTTTCAGCAATTGGCAAAAGGCAAAGGCGCTAATAGAACATAGCAGCTGACAGCACGAATCTGCTTAGATGCGAATTCCGCGCACTTCCGCTCACTAGGGAGGTGGAGCTCAGGCAGTAATCAGGTGTGGCATCCAATCACTTCCTGCCAGATGGAAGTTGGAATATCACTCGAGTTGGTTAGATAATTCGTGCCACGCGCGAACATTATGGTGGGAAGAATCTACACGGTCACTTGGCACCATTTCATAGAGGGAATTGCAGGATGTGTCCACTGAGTCTGGTGGTGAGGGGACGGACTGCAGCATCTTGAAACTTGCTAACGCTTGTTTTCCAACGGCAACGGGTAATCGCTCTGAAGGAAGTTGGGATGCTGCCATGACCACGAAGCCTTTGGTACTTCCAGGCAAATGCATTAACATGGCTGGCGCGGCAACAGCAGGGCCCTGACCGAGATCAAAACCATGAACAAATCGAAAGTCAAACCCGAAGCAGTCGAAGCGGAAGCGCGAGTTGTGCTGGTGGAACAGAGCGACGAAACGGTCATGGATGCACATATACAAATTATCAAATGCGTCATCACCAGTATCTTCGGAGCATACTCCCTTACCTCCCTTGGACGACGGCCTTCCGGAATCCACCGCCCGATTGGAAAGCAACCTCCATAGTCTCAACGAAACGCCATCGGGAAAGGGGCCCCACACGAGAGCAGGCGACTGGTGGAGGAAAAGGAGGGCTCATAGGTGGGAGAGAAGGGGCATAAAAGTGGCGCCACGCAGAAGGGGCAGAGGGGAGGCACTCTATATTCAGAAATGGATGGCAGCTCCCAATAACGTCGCATATGCAGCAGCTGAGACGACGCGAGTGGCCATGATGGAGGTGGGGAGGGGCAATTTCTTTGCAACTCTGCAACGGGTTTGTGATCAAGCCCCAAAAGGTGGAGAAGATGCGTCAATGGCAATGCACATTTCGAGGAATCAGGATGTAGCACCGAGTTTAACGAAGGACACCAACCAATGATAACCAAAGGCTCCCACCATCGAACTCGATTATACGCATTGTCCAATTGGTGACCGCCAGCGCTCCACCTCAAGAACATTATACTATAGTTATGGAGATCTCTTGTGACGCACACTTAGCCAGTTCAGCTTCCTTACGTCTCCTGCTCGCAACCCGCGACCTATTTTTCAAATCTTGTTCATCCTTCGTCACTCCATTCTATTCGGCACAAAATGTTAGAGGAAGGATCTACATATGCATGCCAAAAAAAAATTGGAGCTTCCTGCCAGCGGCGAAGATATAAACCCTCGCTGTCTTCGCTCCGGTTACAAACCTGGGAGCATCATAGGGCCGTGAATTGGCAAGCAATCAAAGAACAGGCTCGGCATTGGGTTGTGGACTTTGGAAAGGAATCAAAAAAAGAGGAGGGTTAGAGACCTGGGAGCATCATAGGGCCACAAGCACACAAAACACAGGCTCGGCATTGGATTGTGGACTTTGGAAAGAAATCAAAAAAGAGGGGCATATATGCTATGGCGGTGAGACCAGCTTATTGTGAAGTCCAGGCATGCAGAAGCGGAGTGAGGGCTAAAATTTGTTCTTGTGGTTTTGCGATTCAATATCTCATATGCACACTATGCACCTGAAAGCGGTGACCCAACAAAAGGCAAAGAAAAATGGGCTCTACATGCATCTTTATCTCGTGGACTTTCGTCGGGACGAACTTCTCGAGTTTTCTGTGACGGATTCAACCTGCGGGGACCATAAATCATAACATTCTGAAACTCCCGTCATTAGCAGATTCGAATTGAAGGAGACCTCTCTTAGCTCTATGAGACACTTTTGCACTTCGATTCCCTGATGTTTCAGCTTCTGTCGAACGCGATTCAGACCTTCCAAGTCTTCCATAATTATCTGAATTACCGGAACGGATTTTGGAATGCTTTGATTGATAGGATTGGGTCAACTGTACTGGCTGCAGATGTATGCCCTAACCGATTGGAAAAAGTACCGCTTGCGGGGCGCAAAAACCGAGCTGATTTTCTCGGACCGGAAACAAAAATGCAACAGAAAGGAGGTAGGTTATTAAGTATGGAACGGGTCGGGGAAAAAAAATGAACGAGGGGGATTGGCTACGTTGAAAAGTGCCTTCTGTGAGAATCGAACTCACGACCTTCTGCTTACTAGGCAGACGCTCTGCCAACTGAGCCAAGAAGGCTTGTTAGAAGCTTCACAAAATGTTTTATATCTGTTATTTATTTACATTATGCTTATATTTGTTCACAACAAAACCCTCACAGTTCCGAACAATGGAAGGGAAAATGTGAGCCGAGCAACGAACTGTGGTTTGCTGAACAATTGACAAACTTCGAGGAGCCATATTATTATACGACAGTCTGAGCTGGAGGTCCAAATCGAAGCCTGTCGGAAAATGGCATTTGTTTCCTGTTGGCTGCCATTCGTGAGAGTGACAAGAAGACTGACAAAAAAAAATCTTTTCGCAAAATCAATTTCAGTGTGACATGCGTGCATTCGCACACATTGAGAACATGAGCATGCAATACTTATAATATGGTAGGTAGTGCATCGAACATGTCAATGAAGCAAAGGGTCGCTCACTTTCCTTGAACAGCGACAGAGCGCGTCACAACCTCAGGGAGCTTGCTACAAAGCACTGACACAAGTGACACAAGAGAAACATCATTTGGGATGTACAGTTCCAATGCCTCTTTTGACACGTTCCAAAAGACGCATTGTCAAAATTCCGCCTCAAAATCTGGTAGACGCTCTGCCAACTGAGCCAAAAGGTCGATATGCCTAACACGCCTTATGAATCCTGTCGGAATTAGGCAGACGCTCTGCCAACTGAGCCAAGCAGTGCCACTACATCCTCTTCAGATCCATAATATAGCCCTCCAAAAGAAACCGTGATGCGGGCGAGAATCGAGAACACCATTCCTCAGGAATCACAACCAACTCAACAAAACGATATCACCACGTTCACCCAACTTCTCATCTTCCAAATCTACCCAAAAAATCATAATTTACAAAGAGGGGGTTCCTTTCCCCGAAAACATGCTCCCACACCTACTTCCCCTCCCGATCAACAAAATACCTCATAACAGTCCCCACACTCGTCGGCGGGAACACCGCATGCTCACAAATAACCATGCTAACGAAATCCGCCGGCGTAATATCATAATGCAGATTCAACAGCTTCAATGGCGGGATGTCCCGCCAATTTACTAGTGAGGAGGAGGAAGTGGAGGAAGAGGTAGAGGAGAGTGTTGTGGTGGAAAGTTCGTCGGGGTTGCCTGTCATGAGAGAGAGGTTTTACGTTAGTGAAGAGGGGAGGGAGGAATGATGAAAGAAGAGGTAGCAGCAGGGACACCCACCCAACTCATTCCAAACAAACGCATCCAACCGCACAACATCCGAAAACTTATACGTCTCGCTACAAACAATAACCGGAACCTTCGCCTCATGCGCCGCCATCGCCACCACCGCCCCACCAACTCTCGACAAAATCGCGCCATTGCTCAACACGGCGCTCGCGCCCAGGAAGACTTTATCGACTTTTGGCATCATCATCCCCAGAGCGTTGAGCCAGATGTAGGTGCAGTCGATGTTGTGGGATGTTAGTTCGGTGAGCATTTTGCGGCCTGTGGTGAGGTTATGAGTATATGTGATTGTGAGCTGGGAATGGAAGTGAATGGACTACCTTCGAGTTTCGGTCGCGAATCTGCTACAATTACTTGGAATTGTTTGCCGGCTTTATGGGTTTCTAGTAGAAGATCTAGCACAACTGATGA